AACTTATTCACACTCCCAATATATATATATATATTTATATTTATATATTTATATTTATATTTATATATATATATGTATATATTTATATATTGTCAATTCGACAGTATAAAGTTATCACAGATTTACGAAGTGTTTGGAGTACGTAGGTGCGTCGCGGCAATCCTATCGTTAAAATAAACTATTTACAGCGATAACAACTTTGTTTTTTCAATTTTCGTAATTCCAAAGCGCACAGTATTTTGCTATATATAAATTTTACATGAGCACTAACGTGAGTACGAAGAGCGTCCGACTGTTACCTCAGAAAATAGACTCTTCGTTAATCGAAAAAGAAAAAAAACAACAGAAAGAGAATCATAACGTCGCAAAAAGAATCGACTGTGTGAACAACGTTGAATGTCGCGTTAATAAATAAAAGCTTGATGTGGCACATTTTTATACGGACATCACATATATCGTAAAAACGCATACGTTTATGTGTGTGTGCTTATATATGCGTATGTATATGTATATATATATAATATGTGTGTGTATTTGTTACCCAGCTATACAACTTCAAATTATACATTATTTTCGAGTTCTCACGTCAAGACGCGCTTGATAAGGTACTCGGAACCAATATTGTGAACAGCCGCAATTGCAACAGTTATAAATTAAACAGCGTGTCTTGTACTCATTGAACACTGCTCCATAGTAAAGCAAAACAAAATACACGTACATACAATTTATATGAAACCACAGCCGGCCAAGTCATACCTATCGTGTATTCTCTCAATACCCTCAATACTTTCGTAACAATTTACTGCCCTGGTAACTTTACGCAAGCATTCCACGGATAACGCGGCTTTACTTTTCGTTTCAATAAATATGCGATATTTATGACGTAGTACGTTACAAAATTTCTCCGCTGCAAAAGTTCAAACTACATATCGTCTCTCGGTTAATGTTTTCATTAACAATTGTGAATCCATTCACTAACACGTCAACAATACACTGTAGAACTGGTTACGTAATGTCTACTGACAAGAAGTTACGTCTATAACTCGTAGATAATGTTACAAGACTATCGACCAAAATACTAAGGCTCCTTACTGCTGCTTTTTACGGCGTAATAAATATTTATTGATTAAAACTCACCCGAAAACTTACGGTGTTGTCAATAATAACCTTGTAACATTTTATACACATCGAATGTGCGAGACGCATTCAATTTGCTCATTCTTGACGATAGATCGACGTTTCAAACGTTATTCAAAGGGACAGTTGCTTTGCTTAAATAAATATACCTACAGCAGAAAAAAAATATCTTTCCCAAAGAGAAAACAATCGATGATGGCAAAACTATTTTCGTTTTGTTTTACAAGACACTCAAAAAATAGAGTGACTGTTGTTCGAATAACAGTCATCGGAAGTGCCAAGTAAACAGTTCCGTCGAAAAATAGAATGAGTGTATCACTCCGAATTAACTAATTATAAAGATGTGATGTCGTATTCGTATAAACAATTACTCCTAATTAATACAACAGCGCGCGAGAAAACTGCAGGTGTCTAAATAATACATCAGCGAAGTGATACATCGGCGAAGTGAAAATAGAAAGTAAGATGTTAAAAGAAATATATAATTTAATACCACATAGTTAATATAAAACTTCATAAAATTGCGACGGAGTAAATAGAGCTCTAATAGTTATTTTCTTTTTATTTCTGCATGTATATGTAACTCTCTTCACATTCCCGCATAATTTTAAGAATACACATTGAACACATTAATATATTATCATCGACTAATAAAATGAAAAATCGATTCGTTTCATAGCCATAACGAGCATTTCACGTCTCATATACATGCATAAACACGCATATATTATGCCTATTCTTAACCATCACTCCTGTGTATTCGTTTATACATTATGTACAAGAGTAAATTGGTTATTTTCGTTTTGTGTAGTTGCTGTTAGTTTCCTGTATACCGTAACTATCGTCGACAGTAATAGCATGCGATGTACGCACGTTTCCCTTCACGAGTATAACATTAATTAGCTCTTATGGAAATTTTCCGCAACGATATGATGCACAATCCCGTAAGACGTGCCTCAACAATCACGTAATTGTGGCTGTTCTCTGTATTTATGAAGTAATATATTTGTACAGTAAATACGAAGCCTGCAGTCGGCAGCCGAAGAGACTCGTCGCAGTTCGCGCGATTACCACGCTTTTATTAATATAGAAAACGATTCGCCGGGATATCGATCGCGCCGCGACAGCTGCTGGACGGCGGGTTCTCATCGTCGGGATTGTCGTATCGTTTCAGAACCGATCGCGAATGCCGTCCGGACAGGGACAACGTCGCCTGTTGCTTCAGCTCCTCTATATATGTCGTCGTGTCGTCCGCTATCAATTCCTGCAAATGTTTGCTCAAGGTCGATAATTCGGGCCTGTCGTCCTCGTACATTCCATCGAGAGCTCCCGATTTCTCGTAAAACAGTATATAGGGCGTGTCCGGTGGCTTCAAGTTCTTGAACTCCTCGAAAGTAGTCCGCGACACGAAGCTGTCGTTGAATTTATACCAATTTTGCTTCGCGGAGTCACAGGCGTATGTGAAATAGTGTCCATAATCCATGTTATAACCGGAATGCACTACAGCGGCATACAGGTGATACGTTTCAGCGACCGAGCTTGGCACCGTAGACACCGGCAATTTTATGACGTCATTGTAAACCACCTTGTGTCGCAATTTCGTCCTGAGCCGACTGTCAAAGTCGTATCGAAAGTGTTTCAACGACAGAATCAGGTGTGCAGGAGCCTGTAAGATCGTGATGATCCTGTGTGCGTCGCACAGCTTCATACATCTGTCGCAGCGATACTTGTTCTCGCCCGTGAGTTTCTCCGGCGCGAGATAGTAGTTGATGAGATCTTGAACCGAGACCTCTTGGTTCTCTTGTATCTCCTCAGGAAAACACAGCTGCAGGTCGCGGAACTTGTCCGTGTTGTGTGAACTGGTGTTGCACTGGGCGCACTGGTAAGTGATCTTAGACTCGCCGCCCAATACCCTATGCACAAGAGACATGGATGGAATTGATTCTTCACCACCTACGGATTGTATACCACTGTCGGTGGAATCCGAGTGGTAATCGCTGAGCCGTTCCGCTTGTATCAGATCTTCACCTGTTACCAAAACATTAGGATGTATGGGGAATTTCTCAACAAAGATAATTATATAAGAAATAACATTTTAAAAACGATAGTTTTTACACACTTTTTGTATAAAATAATTATCTTCTATTAATATTCTAGTAATAGACGTCGATCATCACCTTGTGGGAAGTCCGCTAGTGATTGCGTTTTCCGTCGGAAAACCAAGCCTTCAGTTAGATCTTCTTCAGTTATCCAACGCTTGATTGTGCCCTCTGTAGAGTTTGTCGAAGACATTACTCTGTTCTCTTGCATCTCGGTTTTAGATTTAATACCGCCTGTGGAATCATTTCTCACGCAGGTCGTATTAACAGCTTTTTCATGCTCGTGTAAAACATCCAGAAGATGACTGTGTAAAGAAACGATTTCGTTTAATCGCAATTATCTTAGATTTCTATTTGTTACATTTACATGCAGTATAAGTCTCTTGTTAAACTATGACAAAAAGGCTGCTTTAAGCTTTTGTAATTATTAATATTTAAATTTACATTAATATATACAGACATGACAAATTTTCTCCGACTGTAAATTCCCAGGAAAAACAATTATCGCAAGTAATGAAAATATACCAACCATAGAAATTCTGAACTATCCTGTTGCTGTCCAGGTAGAAAATAGGAAGGTCGCGATGCTTCGAATATCTCATTTGGCGACAGGTACATCCTCTTGGAGTATAACAATAATGCAAACAAATCCTGTAGTTTTCTCAATAAAGGCATTCCTCCCATTTGGTTCACCGAGCAATTTAACACTTCGTAGCAAAACTGTCGAGTCATCAATAAGGCTTGCAACACGCTATTCATGTAGCATGTATTTCCAAGATTTTGAAGTCCAACTTTCCCAGATAACTGTCCCTCTGGCTCAAGAATTGGCTCTATCGTGCATGTCTCGGCTATCCATAACGGTTCATGATAATATTCCTTGATAACGTGAATACGTGGTGAAACAGGAAAAGTTTTCTCCATGCTATCAGGTAGACGATAAGCTGGGAATCTCATACTGGCTAATCTCACAATATCAACCAAGTGTTGTATGCATTCCCTGCTGGATTCTGAATCTTCTTTCATCAAACTAGTTATCAATGTAGGCACAGCTTTAATCAATTTTTGTATGACCTCCTCGGAGCTAAGCTTCCTCAGAATGTGATATATTATGAAAGAAGAAGTATGACGGATCACTGGTACTAACAATACTTTGCACATCAGATTCAATATATCTAACGATGACTCCACGACCTCCAGGAGAACAGAATATTTCTCTTGCTTCTCCAAGCCAAGTATGAACTCCATCACCCAACAACTGAGTTTTTTGTCACGCCACTTTGGAAGCCAATTACATAAAACCGTTAAAGCTTGCACTAATTCATAATTTGACTGCGATTGCGACAGAATCCATTCCACTGCCTGCGGGATAAAGCTAATTTCCACCAGACGCAATATCACAACTAACCCTGGGCCTGGTTCCTGTTTCCTCTTCCTGTCTGATATTATATGATACAGAGTTTGGAGGCAGATGAATAAGAGATCGTGACCGCTGTTCTTGGCGTTCCTACAGACCGTTTCCAGGAAGTTTTGGATCTTGGTGGTGTTGTCGTAAAACTCATGAATCTTCTTAGGCTCGGGAGGCAACTGGAAGGACGACAGCCTCACAATTACAGCTTCGCAGAGCGCCGTATGATCGGCTGACTCCGGCAGATACACCGTGTTATCCATCATCGTCTTGAGAAGCGCAGCCAAGTGCGACATGTCTCTGATGTCAGTCTTCTGCAGCAGCGCGGCGACGTCCTTGGAAATCGGGTCGGCGTTGTCGGTGTCCGACTTCTCCTCCACGTGCGGCAAGATCCACGCCATGATTTTCGGCACCTCCGAGATGTTCAGTATCTGGCTGTGCAGGATATCTCTCAGAATATCCTCGAAATTCAGCACTTGATTAAACGCCTGATCATCGCGCAATTCCCTCAGCATCAACCAACCATCCGCGATCTCCGCGTCACTTCCCACTACTATGAAATCGAAGCACCGTTTAATAGAGATACGCAAATAATGTTCCGCATCATTCGGATGGCGCATTGTCAGATTTACTCACTCGGACGCTCGCCTCGTGGCTTATTCTACCTTAGAATTAACTATATACGTACTACTCCCATTAACGATCCCCAGACCCCGACGATGGACCTCACGAAGGAAAATCAAAATGACCTCATGGTGGGGCAGAAGCGTAAAAAACGAGAAAGCGTTACGCCATAAATTACACGGTGCTCAAGAAGAATAATCGAAGACACGACGACGGTCATCCTTTCATCCTCCTCGTGTAGTAGTGTGAATCAGCAGCGTGTTCAACGCCAGTGTGAACGCCGCCTAAGTGGCGCGATGCGAACGACACGTTCCTAGGGACACGCTCGCGTTGGCGACAATGGCCCGCTCTAGTGGAGTTTCGACGGGAACGCTCGTTCGGCATGGAGCGCGAGAGAGAGCGGCCAAGAATAGCAAAGGGCATGCGAATCTAGCCGTTCTGTAAATGAGTGGCTGGCAGAGGTGTACGACTGAAGGCGACCGACCGACCGAACACGACCGCTCCCTCCGGTAGTCCGCGAATCAAGTCGAGACGGGTTCGACGATACAATTCGCGACGGGGAATACGGCTCGCGAGGGATCCACCTCTCGTATATGGAGCAGACTCGCGGGAAACGCCTGTTTCACGTGCCGAATCCTCGCGCGCAAGTGTCTGTGTGTGTTTGTGTGTCGTGGAGCGCGTATGTATAGCGCACCCGTCGTTGCCGTCGTCGCCGCGTATACACACGAAGAGCAAAGTTGGAAGAGCTCGAAGCGAAGGGGTGGGAAAAACGAGCGAGAGGAAGAGAGAGAGAGAGAAGGCGCGATAGAACAACCGGACAGTTAGGGTGAGGGCGAGAAAGAGAGCGAGATAGCGCGGACGAGCGAGTGACGCGTGTGCGCGCGTCCAGTAGTGTGCGCCAGTGTGCGTTCGCTTGAATGTGTGCGCGGACGCGCGCGCGCGTGCCAGTGAGAAGAAGCCCGAGAGAAGAAGAAGAAGAGAAGCTCGTAAGTAGAAGGCGCGAGAAGTGAGAGAAGTAGCAGTGGTTATAGCTCGCTGCTCCCGAGGAAGGAAGAGAGAGAGAGGTGCAGCAGCCGCCGTCGTCTTCACCGCCGCCGCCGCCGCTACCACCATCATCACCGCCGCCGCCACCACCATTGCCAGCGCACGCACGCACCACGCACATACGTACATACGACATACGTACGCACGCGAGCACGGTCGCGAAGCTAAGCGCGTCGTGCTTCTCTTTCTCCGCCGCCGCGCCGGTGCAATGTCTCTCGAGGCACGTTCGAGCTCGGCCCTGTTCAAGCGAGCCGAACAGCTCAAGCGCTGGGAGCAGTCCGAGACGAATCGCGAGCCCGCACAGCCGCGGCAGGTCGCGCGTAAGATCAAGTTCTCGGCGGACTGCGTGTTCCTAGCGGCTTGCGCGGCCAGCGACAAGGAAGAGATCGTGCGCCTGCTTCAGAAGGGGGCGAACATCAACACCGGAAATGGCGACGGCCTCACGGCGTTACACCAGGTAAGGGATACGTCCGAGCACCTCATCAACTGTACGCCTCGCAGTCCCGCTTTTGACAGCTTTGCTCTCCTGCGGGATCTATTCCCCCCCGGACCTTCGTTCTCCTCTGTCTCTCTTCCCTTCCGAAAATGTAATCGCGCAAGATGGCTGCTATGAGGCTCCAGCTGTCTAATTCGAGTGTTATTCGCGGCGATCCCGCCGTGTATTCGACGTGTCAATGAAATCGTTCACGAGGAAGAGAACGTGTAACGTAACGCGTCGCTCTTGGCTCTTGCGATGCGCCGCCGACGGTACACGCGAGGGGCCGTGTCTCGCCCGGGGATCGGCACGTAACCACCGTCGCGAGCGCGAACCAACGGCGTCTGCTCTTAACCGTTAATTACTATTTACGTGCATTAGAGAAGATACCCGAGCGGTAACGCCTCGCTCGTGCAAGAAAAACGCTAACCTCACCGCGAGACCTGTCGATTCACCGAGTTAATTGGTGCGAGTCTCCTTGAAAAAAAAGTCTTCTCTTCCTCTTCTTCTCTCCTTCTCTTTTAATTTGTTATTAATACTTGACCGACAGCGTTTCAACCCGCAGCCACAATATTATAATGCGTATCGCACGTCATTCGTTTTTTCCGATATTCGTCGGCGTTTTATGTAGATTTTTCATTCGTTCGAATATAGTTAGTGCGAGCTAGGCATACGCGAATTGTAACTAGTATCATGTTACGTCAAATTTTGTTAAGCTTCGAAAATGTTCTACCGCGGACGTGAACGTGGCGTGTTAGAAAAGTAGCGGAAAACTATCGAATAAAGAGGTTAGATGCAACGAGGAATTCATTTTAGAAAATTTCAGAGATATTATTATAGTTTTGAAAGCTGAGAGAAAAATCGGGTTTTTTTCCCCATTTCTCTGTGGATTTTTCGGTTTCTTATTCTTACAGAAAAGGTAAATGTGGCAAGTCTTAACCGAACATAGGTAAATTTTTCTAAACGAATTTCTCTACTCCTGTGATAGAAACTGAAAAAATTCGAAGAAAAATAGGAAAATACCGGTTGTTTCGAGCCTTCCTAACTATAGATATTAAGGCTTTCCTGATTAGTACTTTAATTTTAATTTAACTATATTAAAAAAAAGATATTGTTCAGAAATATTTATTTATTTGTATTTAGTTTGATAAGATAGTTTTTCTTTCTATTAGTTTTTCATTCTTTATTAGTCCATTGTAGTTTTTCATTGCATAATTAAGCAATACCATTAGAAAATAAATTAAGAATGTAGATATTTTTTTTATTTTATTCTAGGACACACGTCTTCTGTGTAAATTTTGAATTTACGTTGAGGATGTTGGAATATCGAGTAATTACTGAGCCCAACATGTTCCTACTTATTATTATTATTTTGAGCACAATGTGTGTAACTGTGTGCATGCAATTTACAAACGTGAATCATTTAGTTTGTCGTCAATGAGTGATCGTTCTTCGTTGCACGCTCATTAGATTTATTTTTAGCCTCAGAGGAATTCCATTATTACGCGTTCGTTAAAATCTTGCTCTTGTTCATTAATTTTGCGTTCAACTCCACCGTACGACGGGGAGGATCAATTTTAACCGGAGGTCTTAAAAAAAACTGACGCTATAAAGTGGCTCCGAGACACACACTGTGTAGAATCGTTTTCTCACCACATTCGCAACGATTTTTTTTCACGGGCGGCAAGCTTTTGTGAGCACCAACCTATTTCTGGGTGTCTCTAAAAGCTGGCGCAACTGAGTAATCCGGGACACCTAATACATATATGTCATAATGGTTATTATAGCATCGAAATAATTAATGAAAATATAACAAGAAGGTCGGTTGAGGTATAAGAATATCCGGCTGGCAAATGGAACACTTATATCCCTATTAAATCGGAGAAATTTTTAATTATTCCAGAAAGTAAATTTTCCAGACACAGTTGTCGATTAAACTAATTGACGATCGTAATGATTTCGATACGAAGCTTGAAAGGTCTGAGAAAAGGCGATTTGGCATAATCATCGTAAATTCCAAGATATTTACGATGACGATCGTACAGAGTTATCAAAGTCTCATTAGGTGGAATAACAGATTTTCCATAACATGATATTTATGGCTGTTATTTAAGCGAGAAGGAAGTTAAGGTATTTCATGGATTTGCGAAAATAGAATGTGAAAATACATCAGGCATCAAATGCTATTTATAGCTCACTGTTAGAAGTCACAGGCTGCAGCATCTGTGTTCAGTTTAAATCCTCTGTGTCTAGCAATGTTGTAATACGTGTCCAATTTTTTCTTGCACAAGCAATACCGAGGTTGCAAGAATTTACGTGCATTAAATGATACGAAGAACGATTTACATTCTTAACGTACGCCCGATCTATTCGGAAAGATCGTTCATTTCCAAGTGACGATCTGCGCGAACGACGTGAATTCGGTTCTGCAGTACATTCAAACATCTATCGAAAATTATTGCCGAAGTCTTGTTATAAATGTTGCTCTTCGAAACACGTTGTGTGTATTCTGTTACGAAATATTCTTCTTATGTATTACGCAGAAGTACTGGTTGCGATTAAGGTTTCTCGACGACGTAATAAACAATTTAATAACGCATTTATAACATAACGTCGATTTAAGATAGCGAGATTTGGATAACAACCAGATCGGGGTCCAAAATTGGCGGTCCTGATTTCGAAATATGTCCTGCCGATCGCGCGCCTCGTGTACATGCACCTATTGATGCAATTATAACGTGTAACGTCGCGCATTCACGTAGTCAAACGACGTTATCGTAATTCCATGTAACAGGCCTGCATCGACGATGACTTGGACTTGGTGGAATTCTTGGTGGAACAAGGAGCCGATATCAATCACGGAGATAACGAGGGATGGACGCCCCTGCACGCTACAGCGTCCTGCGGTTTCGTATCTATTGCCAAGTAAGTGAACCATTCGTTAGAAAAGTTTATTTCTCGTCGAGAAAGGACGGTGAGTAAAATTGGCCGAGTTTGGTCTAAAAGGTGATAACGTAAGTTATACATGTAATCTTACGTTTTTTAGGTCGCAGATGGTTTATAATTAGCATAATAGCTAATAGCATTTTTCAATTGATATGTATTACACGTGTAAGGTTGAAATTTATTAATATCTAGAATTGGAAAGTTAGTTATTTCTGCAAGTTACATTCGTTTAAAAGTAGTTGTTTTAGCATTTAGATTTTATTTCTTTATTAAGTTTATTAAATAGTTCAGTCTTTTTTCGTGCTCAAGCATTCGATCAACGATAGCACTAATATTTAACCCTTACAGACCGGAAAATCACTATAGTGGCGTAGCGGAGGTGTCATATATTTTATCAATCTATTCTTTGATGTATATGAAAAAGTTCTAATTCAAAAACTGTAAAAAGTTGTCCAAAATACCGCCCGGTCCGTAAAGATTAAAAAATCGAACGCACTTCTAGATGGAATCTCTATGGTAGTGCGGAAGTTCACCATTTTAACATCCTTGAGATTTTTAAAATAAGAAATAGACTATCTTTTTTAATTTTTATATCATTTTGATTACACTATATTAGATTTAGCATTTCTGAAACGTTTCCTCAGTTTTCAGTGGAAAAAGTTATAAATACAAGTTACTTAGATAATTAAATTATAAATACAAGTAATTAGGTAATTGGAACAAAATTGTCACTAACCGAATTATTATTAAAAGTGACTTATTCCGACTCCTTTAAATCGAATTTTGATCACTTTCACTGGTTTAAATGAATAAAAATGCTACCATCGTATTCTGCGACCTAAAAAACGTAAGATTACATGTATAACTTACGTTATATTTTTTAGGCCAAGATCAGCTTATTTTATCCATCGCCTCCTTCATACCTCGTCAAGAAGATTAGATTTCTCATCTTAGAAAATTGCATTTCTCATATTTTGCGAGGGTACCGAAGATATTGGTTGCACACTGTCTGTCTGTGCTGGTTGTAGTAAACGTTTGTTTTACAGATACTTGATAGAACAAGGATGTAATCTGGCTGCGGTTAACAATGACGGTGAACTGGCGCTCGACATTGCAGAAAGTGACGAGATGGAGGATATGCTCCAACAGCATATAAATAAAGCAGGTTCGTATTTGCATGTACATTCGCACAGGATGTCCGAGGCCTATTGCGTAAATTTTAATTATAGACTTCCGAGGAAAATCGAAGCCGGAGCTCCTCCGCGCGGAGGAACCATCCGCATGTCTCGCCGAAATATCTCCGGGCGGCGATAATTTTGTGGACGATCTAATAACATGCATAAGCGGCGAAAATTAGACGTTGCTTTTCGCGTATCGCTCCTTTCCGTGGATTATTTATAAAGTCATATTTTAGAGATTGTACGTATACACGAGCGTGCTCGCGCGCGTAGGCTGTGTATGAACGCTCGACGTTGGCTGCAAGCTCGCACCGCTCGCAGACGCGGCAAATCGCGTATTGGCAAAGATGCCCTCTTCCATTGACCCCTTTTCCCGTTGCTGATATAATTTTACGTACAATGGCACTGAAATAGTCTTTTAAGTGACGTCTACTTATGACAGGGATCACAGAAATTATTCTTGCACACGTGCGAATAATAATGCTCACATGAAGATGTTCCAAGAGAGATATCGATATTAAACGTTGCTTATCTTTACATAAAACACACTAATGAAAACGAAATAAAACGAGCTTATCCAACTATTGATTATCCAATTATCATCGATTTGTTCGGGCGCTATTTACGGAATTCTTGCTCGATTATTTAAGAACGATAGTCGTTACTTTCCTAGAACGTTGGACGTGTTCAATATGATAAATCGAAACTTGCAGGTATAGATTGCGATCAAGCTAGAAGTGAAGAGGAACGATCGATGCTGAACGACGCGAAAGCTTGGCGATCGGGTGCACCAGGCAAGGATTCCATACATCCCAGATCAGGAGCCACCGCACTCCACGTCGCTGCTGCCAAAGGCTACATCAGAGTCATGCAGTAAGATATTGCTCTCGGATTGAACGACGAAGTATCGGTCGTCTCGCCAGTAATTGCGCATACGGTGGTAATCGCCTCGAAGAATCTCTAGAGTTTAATAAAAATAGAATGGAAAGATCAGTCTTGAGATAACGAAACGTTGGAAATGCAGAATAGAACACACTTTGAATTCAACTTAAATATCCTTTCCATTTTTAAATGTACCTTAAAAGTGCGTAATTATGGAATGGCCGATTAGATTTATTTAAGAAATTTGACCATTTTCCGGTATAACAAGCACAAATATGAGATTTGTTTCTCTTTTCTTTAACTGTTGTAATACTTCTGTGCAGCATATTACTACAAGCTCGATGCGATGTTAATGCACAGGACTTTGATGGGTGGACACCTTTGCACGGTGCGGCGCATTGGGGCCAACTGGAAGCTAGCAAACTTCTTGTTGAGCACGGCTGTGATATGGACATGAAAAACTACGCCGTAAGAATATGTTTTATCGTAATAATAACTAGCTTAGACTATCTCAGACTAGCTCAGGCTAGTCCAAGTTTGGTCTAGGCTGGTTTGATCTGGCAAATATAATTCGCAGGTTATATTGTTCTCACCTCGGTATGTCGCATTTAGGGTCAGACTGCTTTCGACGTTGCCGATGCAGACATCCTAAAAGCTCTCGAGGAGTTGAAAGAGCAACAAGCACTTATAATGAAAGACAGCCCGCAAATAATTAATAAAAAGCAATCGTCTATACCAAAGAAACGGTACGTGATGCAAACTGATATGGAAAAGTCGAACACGTGAGGATATCAAAATTTGTCATTTCATATATCACTGAACATTACAGCGTCTCAACGAACAATGAGAATGCAGTAGCGGCGCAAGAATCCACGGAAATCTTTGAGGAAGAAACGCCAAATAAAGTTAAGAAGGTTGAGTTAGAGATTCAATCTGATAAAGAGGATTCCAGCACTAGTACAAACAGCGACGTCGGTGAGTTCCTTGTTTGCTTTTACTTCTTGAAACATTAAATCTAATCCGCACGTTCACTTCTATTTCCTTTTTTTCTTTTTCTTCTTTAAGACGTGAAATTATATTAATGCAAAATAACTATCTACTCTGCAACTTCCATGTTTATCTTTTTTATGTGAAGAAAGAGTAAAGAGAATAATTGATCATCAATTGTGAATGATAGTAAGACTTTTATTGAAATCAAACAAACAAGTGTAATAAGGATAACAAGAGCCGTTTGCAGGTGTAATTTGTTGCAGTTTTATTTTACAATATATAAAGTACACGGCAGGTATACAAATCAATATTTTATATTACAAAATACAAGCAAACTATACCTGCAGTCGGCTTTTACTGTACTTATTATTTGTTTATTTGTTTGAGAACAACCGAATTTGTTTTGCGAACTGTACCTTTTCTCACACAAATCTATATCCTAATGTCCAGTTTTGCAAATCTCGTTGATGTACGTTAACTGTAATTTGTATTTCTCATAACATTGCTGCATGGACAGAAGCAACGCGTGAAACACACATGGAAGAGAGTGATGGTGAAGGTGAGTCTGAGACTAGCTCAGAATCACACTCTTCCACTTTCTCCAATCAATCTGATAAGTCTAACCACGCGACATGTCTTACAGATGACGGTAAGTTTGATCTGTAAGACTGGTTTTTTTTTTCTTATAATACGAGTTATTATGTTCATTTTATTTTACTGCATGTGTGTTATCGGATTTTGTGATTTTGAGAGCATCTTAAACTTACTGGATTGGTTATTGCTTTAAAAATTCAAATTTCATATTTTTATATTTTCCTTCCTCTCCTGAACGCTTTAGTAATTCTCAATCGATTATTTTGCAGAGAAGAAAAATAGAGTAAACAAAGATGAAATTGCACCCCATAGTCCAGTATCTCCAGTCGAAAGTAATAAAGTTCCTAATCAGGTAAAACGTCCATTCTAATAACGCAGAGTAGTTCAATGTGTTTCGTGCTCTCGATTAATTTCATCTCTCCTTTTCAAGGCTCCAATATTGCCTCCAAAACAACAGACTGATAATAACGAGGAAGGCGTCGTACCATCTTGGAGACGTTCAGGTTCCTTTCGAAATAGGATTCAAAGTACTGAAACTACTAATTCTGCGCCTACAAGTACGTTTATCGAGGACGAATACCACTGTCGTTCGCATATTTTAAATCGAACCTTGGGAAAAAAATGCACGCCCGTGTAATCGTTTCAGAACTCGAAGATAAGGATAACAATGTTAAGATATCAACGGCGCCGAACAAAGTGAGTGCCGAGCCTGAGGTGGTATTACGAAGGACGCACAGTTTCGAAACGGACGAAAAGTAAGTCCAGCTAATCATAATAATATTTCGCTTAACGTGTGCGCATCGCACCAATTTCAGAGATTACAAATTCACGGCTTCATACGTAGCAATGCGTCGTGTATATTTTTCCGTTCTTTCATTTGCTAATGATATCAGCCGAATATCTAATGCTATTAACAGCGGCGCTACATACAACCAAAATAGTGTATCATATGTATGTGTACACGTATACTCTCCGTGTGTTCGCATTAATTATGAGTCCCGGCATTTTTGTACCTGTAATTTGTACTACGTTCCTATACTATATAGTGATGAATTAGAGTGTAGAGATATGCATGGGACGGTGCATGTGATGCAGGTTTTATGAGCAGTACTTGGCATTACAAGCCCGCATCAAGGCGTTCTCGTGCCCTACCCTCCATTGCTGCAATGCAGCTACTCCTACTCACACCAATGCTACGACCCGCTCTGCATCTCTACGCGATACACACAGGTATATTCGCATGCTTCAAATCAACGTTTACAATAGCTTTGGTTCGTAATACAAGCTACAATCGTGTTGATACTCGTCGGTAATTCCACTTAACTCGCTCAATACGACCAACCCTGTACGATATGTAGAATGTTGGAACGTGTTATCATATCGTTTGTATTATTTGGAAGTATAAGTGTGCAAGGTCGCGAACCACGTGTAGTCTTTACATTCTTTTTTTTTTTTCTATTCGTTCAGTGTGAATGAGCTTTCGATGTAGCTTGCTATTTGTTATCTTAACCTCTTGAGACTTCAAGGCGCTTCAATTTAAATCGGACAATAGTGCTAATAACTTTATACATATATATATGTACATGTTTAATTTGTTTTACATTTACTTTTAACTATACTATGGCTGAATAAATAATGATTAATTGATGATCTCTATGGAACTCAGGAAAAGATAGGAATTTATAATTTGATGTTGAGATATTTTCCTCAAGAAGAAACTTGAAAGTATATGATCAGGTAACGGGAGTTACTTTACTTAGCCATTGAGATGTTAATGAATATGTTCTTACCCTTAGTGTTTCCAAATTTTATTTTTCTTTCCAAAATCGTATGAAAATCACATTCGGAAAAGTATTTAATCAAAATTATATTACATGCAAATGTTCTGTGTATCGTGAGTTATAACACTCGTTATCGAAACATGTATAATATCGCGCCGACAGTTTATCGTTGCATATTATTTCTTTTTAATTATTTATTTTTATCCTTACTCTAGAAAGAAAGAAGTGAAATTAAATTTGGAATTATCAAGACTGCCACAAGGAAGCAATACACTTTCACCAACATCCGCATCTAAAACATTGGCATCGAGTCCATTGTCATCCACCCCAACAACTACCACTACTGCCACAACAACAACAAGTCCTATTCCAGTCAATCAGATTCGCAGGTAAATGAATATTTTCTATTTGCAATCTCTCTATGATATTACTGCTAAATATAATTTTAAATCTAAAATACCTTTAAACTTCACACACTTGCAAGTAACATTCTAACATATTTTGCGAGAAGTGATCGAAAGTGGATTGCAGTACCTCACTGTCTCTTACGAAGCGTAATAGAAAAAGGAAAACATCAGCCGCAAAATTCTAATCGTCTCCTCTGCTCTCTGTAACTGACCGACATTTGACCGAGAGAGTTCTTCTTTCGTGAACTTTCAATTCTTTCTACATGAGTAAACGAATTTTACAAACTGTCGATTTTTTCGTAGACCGATTATGCGTGTGTGTACATATTCTCAACAATACGTCACGCTGGTTTCTCGAACACTTATTTACAACAACAGAATACATTACTACATGCACATAATTGACATCTGTGTATTTACATTTTGCATTGTGCGTTATAATATTAATGTGGCTGGATAGTGCTCAACCAGTGGAAGCTGCATCTACAGTTGTATCGAATACAAATAGTGCAGCAGCAGCTGCTCCTGGAACTCCCACTACACCAGGAGGGAGCAAGCTAAGTCCGGGAAATATCTTCAAGAATTTCTTCAAGTGGGTACTCACTACTGCTCGGAAGATCCTCTTGAGACACTGTGACTTTTGCGTGTCCTCGGATGTTTTTTACGTATATAACTTACGTTCATTTGCTGGCAGTGGCATGGAAGTTTTTGCTTTTCGCAGTGTGATTATACCTTTTATTTGCATTAATACTATCGTTCTACATTGGCGCGGAGTCTAGACGATACATAGTTACCTCGCTCACAAGTGACCACACGTTTGAATTTCACCGGAGCTCGCACGCCACATGATCATACAGTTTTATCAGCCGACAAACTAGAAAAACACCGCCACGAATAAATAATGCACTCGCTACCTGAAGTCGTGTTAATCGTGTGATTCTGTGAGAATGCACTGTGATGTAGACACAACGACACAAGGCTCCTCAGCCCACTGCAACAAAGGCCTATCGATATTCGGCGGGAATTCTGTCGGCCGGAGCGAAATCGAGTATTAGGACGTACTACACCTCCTCCGCTCCTCTCTCCGAACTAACGATCGGTCGAGAATTCGATACGGTATTTCGCTACACGGAAGAGGCCGTTCGAAGCAGTAGTACAATAATTATACATAACACTAGGTACATACACTTGAAACAAAGAGGGGATGTATTAATCGTTATTTACAGAGGGATATACTCTTTGCTGTTTTTCTGTGAAGTTTTTTGACATTGCTTACAGATTGTGTTGAATATAACGCTTACTAAGAATTTGGTTTTGATTGCACCAATACAAAACGAACTGACGATATAGCGTATACATACTTCGCTACGAGACTTGTGCGAGGACCGATCTCTCTTTCCGTCTGATGCATTTGCTCACACATGTGTACACAGATCCTTCGTTCCGCCGGTGCGCGATGAGGAGAGCGAGACCCAGAGGAAGGCCCATGCGAAGAGAGTGAGGGAAACCAGACGGTCTACACAGGGTGTGACGTTGGACGAGATCAAGAGTGCGGAACAGTTGGTGAAGAAGAAACAGCAGAACAACGAATCACCAGCTCTGACACCATCATCCACGCAGGTAACGTTGTCGAATACCGTAATAGTGCCGTTATTGCCAGATACCTGCAGTAAATACACGATCAGATCGCGATGTGAAGTATTTCTCGTAGCAGTCGTAGGCAAACAGACGATCGGTCACACTATCGCTGTGAAGCGTCTTTCTTCTGCGAGTTCTCCTCCGCGTTAGCTAAAATCGCAAGTACTACTCCCAAAGTGACACTTTGTTTTTTATTGCGTCCCCTCACGAACGGCAATGCAGCGCGAGAATGAATGTCGACGCAGCGCACGGCGTTTTGTTTATGTATTTTTTTAATAACCCAGCCTACGACTACGGTCAGCAATACAGCTTCGATCACGGCTACGATAACGACCGCAACCTCGACTACCGTGACTGCGAATAAAGTCTCCGAGGAATCTAATTTGCCCGAGAGACGACCATCTTGGAGATTAAGGGTAGACAATGGAAGCAAGGTCTGTGTATTAACAGAATCTCATTATTCACGTATGCAATAAATAAACACGCGACGAATGTTCGTACGAACGGTGCTGGGGGTTTCGAAGGTACCGCGTAGGTACAGTGTAGAAAGATCCTATCGCTGACGGGTCGCCGCCACGTCCCGGTGTGATTCACCGCGCGTGTTTTTCACTGTCAATTGTCGAATGTGCGCGAATCCACGAATTCGTAATGATTACCGGTGATTTACCGTTCAGTTTCAGTTGGAAGACGCCAACAACAAACCTACCGATAACGCAACAGCCTACATGAGGAGACCGTCCGGTGGTACTGGCATACCTAGACCGTCATCGGCGCCAGTCGAGACCATCGCTACTAGCAGTACAGAAACCACCATCACATTACCCCTTAGGAGGTCGTTAAAGCAACCCGATGACAAAGGTAAGGGCCGATGAAGTAATGAACATTTCAGGGAGTAACGTTTCCTCTCTTAAGTATTTGTCAGACTCAGCGTACTCTCTTTGATGAAATTAGAGACACTGAAAGTTTCACGAGGATTGCGATGTTTGGATAAAGCACCAGTAATTGTTAAGTGTAAATATTATTTGACATTGCTCGAACACTTCACGTTATGGCTCCATGAGAACAAAGTTCTCCAGTGAAAATATTTAATCAGTTTATGTTACGTTAGAAGTGTTTGTGTTAGTATATCGAGATTTCTGTGTCTGTGTTATAGAACAAGATAAGGAGAACGATAGCAGAAACGCACAAGCCACACAGGCCGTTATTCAAAGGAGACGTCGGCCTAAAAGAAGATCGACAGGTGTGGTCCACGTGGATATGGATGTGAGTAACCCGTTTAAGATAAAATCGTCCAAAATATTACGTTGGGATTGTCAAAGATACTCGTTAATATTATATGAGAAGATAGAAGACTATACCTTTATCAGTGCTACTATCCAGTCACTTAAATTACTTTTTGTTGACAAGTCACTAAAAAATTTATTATCGTTTAAAATAATCATTTTTTCCTTGAACTCCAAAGATAAGCCTGGGAAGCTAAGTATAAGTGTTACTTTTTTGCTCGATCTTAATTTCAGAATTTCACAAAAATGTCACTTTTGGTTACTATTTTGCTGTCTGAGAGATCACTTTTTGTCACCTTTTCTGCCAAGAAGCAGTCACTATTTCATTCCTTGTTTCGATGACTGGATGGCAGTGCTTCTTTATAAAATCGCATAGATTTTCGAGACTTCAAGAAACTAAACTTAACTATCGATGAAGATTTCTCACCGATTGTTCGATGAACGCTTTTGATATAAATAAAAATTGCGGCGTAAATGATTGCGAATAAAATATATGCAAAATAGAGGCGTCTCTAAGATCGTATTTTATCTTTCGCAGGAAATCGACCCAGACAAACAGGATCTAACTGCTGGCGGTGACTGTGACGACTCCAAGGTCAATCACAACGAAGTAAGTGACTTCTAGTTCTGAAACTGTGTTACACGGTGTGTCATCTCAGACATTAACACGACGTTACCTCTCTAACATCGTCACGCCTATAAAACGCTGTTCCTAAAGAAAAACAAAAGTTACTCCGTCCAAAATAATAGAAGTAGATCTAGATCACGGTAGAGAACGAGAAACACGTTGCCACTTGATGGATGGATACCGCTGCCGATCCAAAATACATCATTCCCCCCATCATTCCTTACCGGCCTTCGGGTTTACAAGACGCCCTTCTGACGCCCGAGCGTCTGTCCGAATTTCGATTTACGAGTCTCTTGCCACGAGTTTAACGGGGCGCGTGCCAAAAATCCAAAATTGGATAACGCGCAGTAAGAAGAATGACGCAGAGGGAAACATAAATCGGAGAGAGAGCAGTACGTACCTGCGATGCGCACGATGAGGCATCACGCCTCGCCTTTTGGCACCTCTCAATCCTGACGAGTTTCCCTTTCGTCGAGCCTCAATTGTTGGACAGGTCGAGGTGCAGCAGACCAACCTATCGGCTGGTTCCGCGAAGCGGCGAGAGGAGTCGAAGTAACTCGGGAAAGAAGACGCTCGCCCGCCGATTCGCCTTTCCTTCGCGATTATTCGGCCAGCGTCACTCTTTAAATCATCCCGACATTAAACGATTTTCTTAAGCCGCGGCAGCTTGCTGCTTATTTTTAGCCTCTTGGAAGAATAACCTCTATTCCGTACATTCTACGATAAAAATAGTTCAGTATTCGTTATTCTGTCACCTACATTTCGCGCGAGATACATTCGACGTGTGGGGTTTCACAAAAAAGAAGGAGACGGTGGTGTAAGACTGACGTCAGCGCGTAATTTTACTTAATTCTCAAATAAACATTCGCACTCTTTTGCGTCGGAAATCTCCGAATCGAAAGAGAGGAAGGGGGGACCGAGACGGCGGAGCTTAAATTATATCGGGGAAGTTAATCGCTAATTCGAGCGAAAAAAAGAACAGACCAAGACGATCCGTGAACATGGCCTGGTCCGAAACTATTCCGTTAACGTTCGGTATACGATGCGACGCTTTGACATTTAGAATCGCACGCGTGCCGTTCACTTGTTGCTCTTGCGCTCAAACACGCTTCGGTCTTTTATATATATTGAGATACACAGGTCGTTAACGCTTGTCTATATAAATCTCTCTCCTCTCCCCCCCCCCCCCCCCCCCNGTGAAGGTCTTACCTAATACATTATGAAACTTATATTCACACAGATAAAGTCGTGTGTATCTCGAATATCCTATGTGCCAGCGTAAAAATAACAACATCGCGTCACGGCGCATTTGCTAATTAGACGTTCTATATTTAAATATTCATAAGCAATCTCGCTTATATATGTTAAGGGAAATATTAAAAGCGCGGTGGAAAGCGCACATATTCAAATTCTCCGGAACACACAACCTTGATGCCTGTGTTAGTCTCTCTGCGCGCATTCCAAAAATAGCGCATAGTAGTAATGCTTTGAAGCAGCAAACTGCCTGATGTCTTGGGTTCTCCTGCCCGGTCCCCGTCAGTCTATCATTCGCGGCCCGCGACGCTGGATACCCGCGCGCCAAAAATCAACAACGTTCGCGCCCACGGTCTCTCGCGAGGGCTGTTCCGGCCGAGTGAGTGATTTTCGCGCGAGAACCCCCCGGTGGCGGGCGCGAGGAAGCTGCCGATGCCGATCGCGGCCCCGTAATAGTTTCGCACGTGACGCAAACCATGTCTTCGTACAGAAAGGGAGCGCAGGCTAAGCCAACAACAGCTGCGGGCCTGAGAGCCCAGGCGTCAACAAATGGGCAATCAATTTTTGGAAACAGGTCACGGATCAGCGGGCTGCTCGCGCTCAACCAGAACAATTATGCGAGCCTCCTGGGCATGAAAAGCCCGAGCTTGTACTCACCCAGCTCCTCCTCCGGGATCCTGAACGCTAAGAGCACGAAGAGCAGCGATCATCTCTTTCGCAAACGCCCGTACACTAAGTCGGCGACGAGCAGTCCGAGTTATCCGAATCTCTACACGACGTATGGCGGCACAACCACCGGATATGGCGGCGTCACTCTGCCTTCTCACACGGCAGTCAATACCTTGAACTTGACCAGCTCGTCTCCCAGCTTTAATTATTTGAATTTGACGAGCACGCGCCCGCACGTGCAAAAGACCGAGAGTTTCAACAGGTCGAAGATCAAACCGAGCTCGAGTTTCAGCTCGAGAAGCTCAAGCCTCCAAAGTTTAACTAGTTCCGAGGGATACGCCGTAAGCGATCGCATTTCTCGAATAGTGCGATTAGTTATGTGATTTGCTGCCGGAGCTGCAACTCCGATTGCAAAGTATCGAAATGCGAAATTCCGCGGATGTTTTTATTTTTAACTTGTAATAAACAGTAACATGGAATCGTGTTACTGCTTATTAACAACTTATAGTAATTAATATTATATATATAACAATTTATTTTTTGCTTTAATGGCACCAGACTATCCGTGCTCTAGCTTACAATGAACTCTTTTTATAAATGAATTCCATCAACGGGGACCCGTTAATCCATTTTATATAATTAAAGAAAAAGAAAATAGAAAAATACGCAAATCGAATGCAGATAAATAGTTATTGTAATTTTAATTGAATACCAAGGAATCTTGCAACTTTCACTCTTTTTTTTACTTTTTATTATAAGCATACGGGAAGAAGAATTTTCTTTTTTCACAAAAAAATGAACACAAAAATATTATTGATTTATGAATTAATTGTTATGTTCGGTAATATTTAGATATTACAAGATGTGTGTATATATATATATATATATATATACATATATATATATGGAATTCTATCCTAACAGATCGATAGAAATTCACAAAGATATCTTAAACAGAAGCTAATGATGCTTTGTTATTTGTTTTAGAGTGGAAACGATCGTTCCAGCAGATCGAACAGATTAGGCTCGATATCTTCGATATCGTCAGAGGCATCGTCGGCGCCGATCAGAACAAAGTCCAGTAGTTCGGAAAACGGCGAGTTAGACTATAAAAAATTGTACGAGGAATCTCAGGTGGAAAACGAGAGGTTAAAGGACAAGTTGAAGCGCTCCGACGAGCAGTTGAAGGAGGTCAGGAGCTTACTGGAGAAAGCGCAAACCAACCAAAACAAAGTGATTCTCTCGGAGGCGGAAAAAAGGGAGAGGCGAGCCATGGAGAGGAAACTTTCTGAGATGGAAGAAGAGCTGAAGGTAAGCCCATATCTCGTATGTCTCTTCTTCTTCTACAATATGAACGATTGTTATCTATTGTGAGAACAAAACTGAACGAATGCTTTCGTACATGCGTCGATTCGATAATAATGAGAAGACTGGACACTATTATGTCTGTGATTTTATGTGTACGAGTACATACCAATATCTAGTTGTCTATTTATCTATCTATCTATGTATACACAATTTTAGATTTTTTAGTTTATTATCACCGTGTCACATCTCTCTCTCTTTTTTTTTTTTTTTTTTTTTTTTTTTTTTTTTTTTTTTNGCAAGGAAAGAGCAGCGTGAGAGCCGAGATCTCGCGCTCTTTACTTTTTTTCTTTTTTATACAAAGACCCGAGGGCTTTGGTGCATCTATTTTGTACGCTTTTTTCTTACCTGCTGTTCTTTTTTTTTTTGGTTTCAATGGAGCTTTTATTCTCTTCCTTACTTGTGATTTGTACTTGATTTTTGACACGCGGCACAGAAGGATAACGGCAATTTTCGTTAGCCCTTCTTACATTTTCCCCTGAGTTCCGCTTTCTTTTTATTTTTTTTTTTTCTTTTCTTTTTTCTCTGTTCCGCGGAGAATTCCCGACGTGCAAGTTAGCGAGGGAGCCGCACGCAGGACTTTTGCTCATTAGTAACCAATGAGAAACACGAATTAGTTATGTGCTTTTGGCTATTTTGGGACTGGCGGGAACAGCGGCGGGTTTTGGGCTAATCGTTTAACTGTTTACAGCAATTGCAAAAGCTCAAAGCTGAAAATGAGAGATTGAAAGCCGAAAATCGGGCACTTACCCGCGTCGTATCCAAACTCACCAATACTAAATAGGTAAAGGACACAATGACAGCATCTGCGTCATAACGATAGACATCGTATCTCACGTACGGCATTAATTAATTAATCGATTGATTAATCGACTGATATGGATTACAACTTTGTGTTTCTGATCGCCAATATTAAAACTGAAACGAATTACCGCTCATCTCTTACTTATCGTACTCGAAACTCAGCTTTGCAAAGTACGTATCGAGAATGCGTAACAACGCGCGATCGTTAATCAATCTTTAATCAAACAACCGTACCAGCTTGTACTTTCATAAAAAAAAAGAGAAAATTGCAAATTTCGGCCTGCTATAATACACACATACATACACATAACACGCACAAACACACACATACACACAAACACATGCTCGTCTGTCTCATCCTGAATACTTTGTAATCACCGCTGTATACAATCGCGTTCGTCTTCTTATATGTGTGATACTACTAATAGCACCTCTGTCTCCGCGATGTACACATCCACGTGATTCCCTCGACGTCTCTCTATTCACGTATTGCGTATGTAATAAACGTTTATATACGCGCACGATTCCTCGAAGTCGTCGCTGAGCGAAAATTCGACTGCGCCATTATGTCATCGCGGCTGTGATTGGTGTGATGCATGCTGCGAACGAGTCCGCTGAATAATGCATCTTCATCGCGCGATCTTTAACAACAAGAGACGCGGGAACGTGGCCTGCGCGATCCGTGCGATGCGTAGGAACGAGTAGACTCCACGACCTCCGTAACTCTAGGAGAGCATTCCTCCGCGTTTAAACACCACACCGCTCCACCATGGCCGCATCTCCGACGATTAATCACCGCCGCACGGCACGTGTTCGGCACACGAGCAAACCAATGCCACGACTTTGCAGTTGGATTATGCCCTCTCGTTTATTCATCTCGATTGCAGCTGTGTGTGAGAGTACTCGAGCCATCCCCCCACCTCTGAGACACACGTTAGACTGTTAAAAATCAACACTTACCACACTGTATTAACTTAGATCTTCATCACTCTTCTCTCTCCCTCTCTCTCTCTCTCTCTCTTTCTCCGAAAGCATGTTAAATGTTTAAACTGTTGCATCTTCACTGCACATATTACTCATTGACTCATAAATCTATCTTTACCGAGATGGCCGATTCGTGAGGTTGACACATTAATATCTCTCCCCTCTTTTAACTTCTTATGTATAATAATTACTGCATACTCATCACACTACCTTCATATGATACGCACTAGAGAGCTTTCGTAATCAACGATATTATTTTGTAGCGTTCTGAAAGTGCTCGAGACGCGAGAAAAGAACGGTAGCGAACGGTTTACACGGTATTAGTTGCAACTGATAAACATTGCTTCAGAGAGCATTGCTCCCCCCCCCCCCC